GAGCATGTTGGGAGCCGGAGGAGCAGCAAAACAAAACGCCGGGAGAGGAAAGGAATGGACGGAGGGCGTGCAAACAGAGATGGACGGGGATGGAGAGGTCTGTGCATGGAGTGAAATGCACAAAAAAAGAAAAGTATCATCAAAACAGAAGCACAGTAACATACACCAGTATGATCACGTTGGTGCAGCTACTCAAAGCCAGCACTTGTTTCAGAGCAGGTTGGAACAAGCACGAGTCCTTTTCAGGGATATTTGGTTACCGATGGACACGAGGGATCCAACCTGTGACCTGCCAGTAAAAAAAAAAAAACACTCAAAGACGAGGACCGTGAAGAACAACAGCGGAGGTTCAAACGGCAGCAACCTGCAGGGAATGAAAAGATCTCCAGAGAAGTAGGAAGCTGGAGAGGTGAGAGGAACACAAACAGGAAGAGGTTTTGTTAGAAACAGATTAGGGAAGAAAGAGGAAGGAAGCACTGGGATGGAGAGGAGGATGTGCCGAGGAAGAAAACTCTGAGATTAGGAGAAGTAGGGGAAGAAGTAAAAAAATAAGAAAAATAAGAGCAAGAAAAGAAAAAACAAAACGTTGAATGGCACGAGGAAGGAAAAAAAGAGGGAAGTGGAAGGAGATGAAAAATGAAATATGGAGGAAGAGGAGAGAAATTGAGAGATAAGAAAGTTTTTAGAGGAAAAAAAAAAAAGTGGTGCAGGAGGGATGAAAAGCGAAGCTGGGTGGAGGTCTGTTAGCAGGAAGTTTGTGCGTAAGCGTTGGCCCGGGGAGATGGAATCTGTTGCGGTGTGCCGTGTTTGTTCTGGCTTAGCGGCCGCCCTCAGCAGGCCTCCCTCGCTGGGCATCAGGAGAGGAGGGATGGGGAGCAGGAAGCCGAGGAGAAAATGAAGAAACAATGAGTCGATAACTAGCGAGAGAGCGACGGCGGAGGTAAATCCTGACTCACGCTGCTCTCTGAAATAAAAGCAGTAATGGCTGTACGTGGTTAGAATTGGCCAACTGCAGTCATAACAACTGGAAATTTAAAAACAATGTGGACTGTGCAGACAGCGTCCAGGACTGGACCATCCCAGGAGGCCCAGCCTGTTCCGAAGTTAGTTTAACGGCTGCGTTTCCAACAATACCACCGGGTTTTATGGTGACTGTTGTAAGATGCAGGTTGTCCGCTAACCACCGTGGGTGCTGAGGTGTTGTTGGGTAAGACCCTGAAATCTGGCCCCGCAGTGAAAGCTAAAATTATCCTTTCATAGTTTGCACGAAAACCTTTTACATAATTCCCCCAAAATCTGCTGCGTCAGACAGAAACGGCTTGTGGACGATTTAGACGACAATAAGGCCGGAAAAAAACTGTATGAGCCACTGTGGAGGTCAAAAATCAGGTTCAACCAGGGTCAGACTGTGTATTTTAGGCTCTTGGTCTACGCTGCAAATGGACCAGTAGTAGTTTTAAATGCATTGATCCTGTCCTATCTGCAGGCCTATCTGACACACTGGACCCCCATATCTGGCCCTCCAACAAAAACATCTGGCCCCTCAATGAAAGCAATGAAAGTTTGCACCAAAACTTTTACATAATTTCCCCCAAAATTTGCTGCATCAGATGGAAACAGTTTGCAGATGCATTTAGACGACAACAAGACCGATGCTGAAAGAAATGGACGTCCATTGAACTTGATCTTTGTTCCCTGAACTGTGTGACTGAATCATGAAGTAACGTGAAATGGGACCAACAATGGCTCATACAGTGTGTTTTAGATGTGCTCTGTACTGCAAATGAACCAATAATAGTTTTAAATGCGTTGATCCCATCCTATCTGCATGCCGAGGTCTTCTTGGGTAACACACTGAACCTTGGAGTTGCAGCCCAATGTGGCCCCTAAGCTAAAATATCTGGCCCCTCAATGAAATCAATGAAAGTTTTCATCAAAACTTTTACATATTTTCCCCCAAAATTCGCTGCATCAGATGGAAGCAGTTTGCAGATGCATTTAGACGACAATAGGACGGATTGACTGAATCTCTGTAATGTATGAAATGGGACCAACAATGCATCATACAGTGTTTTTTAGACGTGCTTTCTAGTAGAAATAGATCACATGTGGAAAAATGTGTCTCAGCTTTTGAACATTAGTAGTTTGAAGTATAAGGAAGTTGCAGATTTGTGGCGCAAAACTGGAACCTTGACACGAGTCAATACCGGACAGTTGGACAACTCCCACTAAGAAACCATGAGTGCAGTTTGCATTTACGGATTCACTTCTGCATTTTTCACCAGTTAATCTGAAAGTATGAAGTAAAATTCCTGAGAGACGCCCGTTAACAGCTAAATGTTGGATGTGTTAAACTGAAGAAAATATGGAGCTGAAGGAAATAGAAGCAAGAAGCATCTTCTCTGGACTTTTAAAATAAATAATAAGTTTGTTTAAGTAGCTGCTTGTGAGCTAAACAGGAGGCTGTTCAGTCCAAACAGAAGAAGGACCAAACGTCTACAAACACAGGTAAACATGGCAAAAGATTTTAAAAATGAATCAATACAACAACAAGAGATAAAATAACTAAAAAAACAAAAAGATGCCACGTCCAAGTGAGGACACACAACAAGTGGAATAAAAGAAAAAAGAAGATGAAACGATAAAAACAAGGTTAGAAATAAAAATAATAATAATAGTAAGTTAATAAAATAAATACCTAATTGAGTAAATAAAGGGTCAAAGTGCTTAAAAATAAACAAAATAAATAAAACAAATGTTGTTGCTAGTATCTGTGACTAGTGTGGCTTTATATTTAGGTTTTTTTTGTCAGACTGACACCAGCACAGCCAGCAGTGCTTTACATGCTCTGGTGAGGAAAAAACCCAGATTGATATAATGAAGCTGACCTGCTTCAGCCAGAGGGAATTAAGAGAAACCAGATCCTGACCCAACCCAAAACCAACTGCTTTGAATTCTGACTGGGAATAAAAAAAAAAAAAAGAACATCAACCCAGGATCAGATTTGAGATTCGTTCCCCTGCGGAGACGGAAAAGACGCATTAATTCTCCCAGTGAGTCATGCATTGTCCAGCTCGTCACCCGATAGCCGACCTGAACCCGTTTCCTGTGACTTCTGTTAAACCCGGCGCTCTCAGTTTAGCTCTTTATCTGTCCTCGGCCTTCCTGTTGACGTCTGAGGTTGTGTTCGGGCAGCAGAGAGCGGCCGAGCGTCACGCCGAAGACGGGAGGCGTGACTCGGGCCGAAGGACACGTAAACGCGACACACCTCTAGGTTCAGGCTGCTTCCTGTCTGTGCACAATGAGATATACACCAGCCCCTGCCCTTTTCCTGTGTCCAAATAAACAGTCCAAAACAGGACTGTTTGGCAGGAAGCAACACACACGTGTTGGCGCACATGCGTGTTACGTAAGCGTGACGCGAGCTTCCTCAGTTCGTTGACAGAGCTGGGAAGTTTCATTTGGCTTCGCGTCGCACCAACTTGACTTTCTGTAAACGCTCTCGAACACGAGCTGCACTCGTATTTACTCAACACTCGAGTGCATCCAAGTGGGTTTAAATGAGGCTCCATCTGTCATGATGTGATGTCTGGTTTCCTTCCGCCGTCGGACCTCGGCGTGCTGGGAGATAGCGGCGATGTGAATCATTGGTAGGCAGCGCCTCCAGCAGTGGACGTTAACTGAGACGATTAAAGTTTATTCTGAACTTACACTTCATGTTTTTCTTAAGGTTCGGTCCACTGAATTGTTCCAAGAATGAGGGACATGAAAATCCCATTTTGATCCTAAAACGTTAGCTTAACACCCCCATGTTAGCTGAACATGCATCCAGGACGTCGGAGGTTTTGATTAAAAAAAATCCACCTGTTGCTGCCTGAGGAGGTTCTAATTATTGGAACCTTATTTTCATGCACATAAAAGTTTGACAAATGCAGGGTTGTACTTATGTTTTTACAAGTGATCGATCTGTTTTCGTGTTACTCGGCTAAATTGCAAAAGCTCCGTGTGTCAGTGTGTCTGTTCCTCACGTGTCTCGGCAGCTGTGCGTCCGATGCAGTTCTGACTTGGCGGGCGTATTGACGAGGAATTAAGAAGGTGCAGTGGCGAGTTTGAAGTCATTCGGATGAGCGGCGGCCATTTTTTGAGTCTTTTTTTGGTGTCCTAAGCCAAGCCGTTGGTACAGTGTCACGTGATTGTGGCAGCAGTTTAACTAGTTTCTCAAATATCCGTATGGCTCTTATGAGGTAGGACATTGTACATTTGCCTTTAAGACAGGCTAAGATGAACTTTATTGATCCCTTGCAGGGGAAATGTACATGTTACAGCAGCTGGATACAGATGAGGCTTGAAAGAAGCAGGACAAGAAGGTACGATAAGGCTCAAAATAAAGATATAACAAAGATGGTGTACAAGGTATGATCTGGTGGATAATGTACCTGAAATTTTTAGTGAGGCTGTTTAGCCGGCTGAGAACCACAAAAAGACTACAAAAATGGCCGCCGTTCATCCAACGCTTCACTTGGTTGGGTCTCCAGCAATACAAGAAGTTTGAAGTTCGATTTTTGAGATGTACAAAAGACAGAATAAAAACAAAGATGCAGATAAAAATGACTAGAAAACGATGTCAGTTTTATTTATTTGTTTGATTATTTGACTTTTATCTGAAGCCGGATCAGATGTTTGTTTGTCCAAACCTGTCCGTCTCAGATTCTGCCTGGTGCTGCTAATTGTTAGCAAAGAGAACGTCATAGCTTCTAGCTCCTTGAGGCTAATATCTTAGCTTCATCTTCATGTTTACCAGACAGATGTAAACTTTTATCTAAGTCTAAATTAGGAAGACAGTGAGGAATGGCTTTTCCCCGAAGCTTGAAGGCCGGACTTTCCCGCTCTTATCTTCCATTTGCTTTTAATCATCTCCCGACCCGATCATCTGTCCCGAAGCGAAGAGGATGTTTGTTTTTGTCGTTGTGACTCAGATGTTTGTCTTTGTGTTTTTCTAGGTGACCTCTTCGTGCATCCCGGCTCCCTCCAACGATCTGGTGAGTCCTCCTGATTCACCCCAACAGCCTTCTGAGCAGCGCTGTCTGGCCTCAGTTACGAGGTTTGGCTCCTCAAAACCACAGCTCGGTTTCCCTCCAGCTGGATTCCTTTTGGGAAGCCGAGCACTTCGGTTCATTCCTGGAGCGCTGCAGGAATCCCCGTCCAGCAGAGAGAAAAAACTAGGAAGCAGCCATGTTTATCCATTAGGGAGTCTGTTTGTTTAATTAACTCTCCTTTCCTTCCTCTTCTCCCCTCTTTCACCTCCTCCCTTTTGCCCTACTTCCTCCTCGCATCGTCCTCCTCCATCCTGCCGCCGCTTCATCATCCTCGCGTCCAGCAGCGTCGAGGGACGGCTCCGTCTCGACACATCCAGCACCTGGTGAGCGCTTCAACCTCCAGGCTTCCTCATCGTCCTCCTCATCTTCATCCTTTATCTCTGTGCTAGCCTCCTCATGAGTTTCCCTCCAGGCCCTGTGGCTTCATTGAACTTAATTTAGCACAAATTGCTATAAAAACAAAATGGCAAACGCTAGCAATGCTGCACAGACGTTCAAAGTGTCTCAGACCAGCAGGGATCATCCTCTGGAGAGCACGAATGTTCTCAGTGCAGCAATCTGCAGATTTAACAAACTGGACTTTTTTGGCCTGATGTTAAAGAAACGGTCAGAGGTCACCAGAAACAACAGAATTCACCCATAAATGTGCAAAAACATTACAGGAAGTGTTTATATTTTATTCTGTCATCAGAGGCTTGTGTAGAATATTAATATTTATATAAAGATATCTGTGAAGTCTTTGCTTAAAATATCAAATATTTTACGAGATAAAACATTTTAAAATTTGTCCGTCGATTTTTTTTCACGCATTGAAATGTGAGGCTGTTTGAACGACAACATCTCAGGAACTATTAGAGATAAAAACCTGGAAGTTTCTCTGTTATGTCTCATCGTAAACAAATGTTTTTCATCTTCAAAGCCGACTTTCTATCCTGTAGAAACACAGTGTTATACTGATTAAACTTATTGGAAGAGATGCTTGAAGGTAAACTCTTCAGCAGCTCCTATGAACATATGTGTTTGGTTTTGGAGGCCGATCAGACAGTTTCCACAATGATGACCAGATGTCTGAATGATTTATAAAACTGAAACTTTGCAGATGCCATTTTAAATATCCACGGTTTATGATAGAAAAGCTTCAAGTGAATTAGAGATTGTCGAGCAGAAGGACCCCGAAGATTTAACATGAAATGACTCAAAAACTAACTGGAAACTCTGGTGAACTTTAGATCCAGTCAGACCTCCAGTCATGTTGTCAAAGCACCAAAACATAGAATTATTGTTTTTTTCTTTGCAGATGTAGAAGATTTAAAATCAAAATCTGCACAAAAGCACTGATTCAGACCACAAGTCCTCGATCGCTGTAAGAAAATGTTCGATGGAGCGTTTCTGAGTTTCACTTTGATTCTGCCTCGTCAGCAGCCAATCACATCCGTCGATAACAGAGCGTGTGACAGCCAATCATGTAGCAGCTTGTTTTTATGGCACATGGGATGAACTGAAGCAGAAAATTAGTGACGACGGCGAGGAAACGGTGGATAAAACAGGACCGATCAGCAGCAGTGTGGTGGTTTTAGGCTTTTTTAACGTCAGATTCTTCATGACTATGAACTTAATCTTTCTGTTTTCCTGTTCTTCCCTCCAACAGGGATCCACTAAGTCCTTAACCTACACCAAACAGAGGAACACTCTGCCCAGGTACAACCTCTTCATCCATTATCACTGCACTGAGCTCTGAGCTGAAGCCTCCTCCAGCTGTTGGCGCTCAGCGGAGGCTTTGGTTTGATGGAGCAGGTTGATCCGACCTGCTCGCTACTCTCCGGATCCGGTTTCCAGACCGTCTGAAGCCTGTTTTCCTCCCCGCAGGAGCTTCAGCGTGGACCGCGTGATGGAGCGCGTGATGGAGCGCCACTACGACTTCGACCTGACCTACATCACCGAGAGGATCATCTCCGTCTTCTTCCCGCCGAAGCTGGAGGAGCAGCGGTACCGGCTGAACCTGAAGGAGGTGGCCGCCATGCTCAAGTCCAAGCACCAGGACAAGTTCCTGGTGAGGCAATCCGCTGGTATTTGCTGCAGCAGCCACTTTGTATTTTTACCTCCCTGCTCGAGTTAAATCCGGCCGAAGACGCTCGTTGCACAATGGACCACAGGAAGCCGCAAAGTACACTCGGCGAAGCCACAAATGAGCAGTGTATTTGTTTCCTCTGTCACACCCGTAATAAAATAATGATAACCGGCTGCAGCCAGAGTGAAAACATGTTTTCCGTTGCAGCTCCTGAATCTCTCCGAAAGGCGCCACGATATCAGCCGGCTCAACCCAAAGGTGGGACTATTTTTTGTTTTTTTTTACTTCTGCTACTTCTTCATGTTCTGAATTCAGCAGCTTCTAACTGGAAGCCTCCTCCAGCAGGTCCACGACTTCGGCTGGCCCGACCTCCACGCCCCGCCGCTGGACAAGATCTGCGCCATCTGCAAGGCCATGGAGACGTGGCTGACCTCCGACCCCCAACACGTGGTGGTCCTGCACTGCAAGGTCAGAGTTCAGCTGCTTCCTGCTGCTGCTCGGGCTGTAAAACAGACAGATGTGGCTGCAGAGAGTCTTCAACTACTGTCAGTGGGATGCAGGTTTCATTTGAATGCTGCGTCAGGAAGGAGTGTCAGAAAATACCGAATGAAGGATGCATCAGTGAGCACAAAAAAGACTTAAAGCCGAATAAAACCATTTTGATTATAAAAACACATGTGGTGACCATGTTGCCACTTGAAGAAAAGGGTTATTTGCATCCTTTGCTTTAGAAAAAGTAGCAATAATTAAATTATTATATATAATATCAGTAAGAAAACAGTTCAAGCCCTGAACACCAAGAAAACGCATCAAAAACATGACGTTCAGTTGAACAAATAAACATTTCATCGTCCTTATTTACTTATATTTATGGATATTTTTGCAAATTATTACCCGTGTACTCGTATAAAGACGCTGCACTGATTTACTTCAAAATAAAAACGGAAGTTCAGTTCAAAATCGACCCTTTTTCTCTCCTGGCCCGATAAAAATGATCAATATTTACAAAATATCAGCTGAAATAATTCATCATTAGCTCGACATTTCAGCTATTTTGCTCTGTTTATCGTTGGATGTAAAAGTCCTAATTTTCCAGAATAAAAGCCAGAATTTAGCCGCTAGATAAAATTCCTCTTTGTTCACAATAATCGTTATGCTGCGTATTATTTGATTATTATAATGTACTTGTGAGAAGCTTTTTCATGTTGAAACAGGAGGAGGCAGAGTTAATTTTAATTACCTAACAACTATAAAATACCAATGCATCCTATACTAATCACAGTTTTATTATCTTGGTCTGCAGCTATCGGACTAAAAGCTGCAGCATTTTTCTCCCAACGTTTGTGGTGTTGACATGTAAAATAGGACAACATTTGAATTTATCCAAATTCTACTTATCTTAGTTGCACTTCAGCGCTGCCAGAAAGCTGCAGAAAGCCTCTGAGATGCTGTTGAGCAACGTTTCAGACACGAGCTGGCCTCTGAACATGCAGCTTCTCATTTCTTTTCCTTTCTTCAGTACTTCTGATGTAAAATGCAGTAAATTAGGCTGCGAATACACGACTTCAGCGCAACCAAAATTGCAGAGTGCAACATACGATCCAATAAACTTCTTCTATCTGGCGCCAAAAAATCAATCGTACAATTTAGATCCAACCGCTGTTTGACTTCCACACAGTTCTGCATCATTTAGACTCTCGTTTGCATCGTGCTCTGGAGAAAAACCTGAACTCCTTCAGAGCAGCCAGCTGCAGCAGGACGGTGACGTCTGCGTGTTTTATTCATCGGCGCTGGTGAATCCAAACTCTAAAAAGCAGACTTCTCTCCGGAACATTCCGGCTGCAGGCATCACGCCAGGCGAGCAGAACAGAAACGAGCTGTTGTCGCTGAGGAGTCGCTCAGAAACGAGCTTTTAATTCGGCGTCGGAGGGGTGAGCGGGCCGGAGCTGGAATGTCTCTGGAATGCGTCAGGAAGTTCCCAGCGCGACCAGAACACAGCGGGGAGCTTTTTAATTTGAACTCGGGCGGCTTTTTCCTGCATCATCTTCGTCTGTGTTTGTCAGAAAAAGTCGAGCCTGCAGGTAGAACTTGGAGGCTGTTGACACCAGCTGGAGGATGAAACCTGCTTTTGTTCCTCCTGCAGGGCAACAAGGGCAAGACGGGCGTGATCATCGCCGCCTACATGCACTACAGCAAGATCTCCGCAGGGTGAGTTCATCACAGCATCCTCAAACTAAACGTGCATCGTGTTGAAATGAACAAACTGGCGTGCAGCCTCCAGCGTGTTCTTTGATGGATGAAGCCCCGTGGATTCGGCTCAGGAACCTCTGGATCCCGGTCCGTCCCGGGTGTTCGGTGCCAGCTGAATCCTCTCCATGAGCTCTCTCTGGAGGTTCTGCTGCAGGCCCCTCCATGGAAACGGACTTCATGTGTTTGTGTGTGTTTGCAGGGCGGACCAGGCTCTCAGCACTCTGGCCATGAGGAAGTTCTGCGAAGACAAGGTGTCCTCGTCGCTGCAGCCGTCCCAGAACAGGTAGGAGGCCGGCCGCCGGGAGGACGCATGAAGGAGAACGAGCAGAAAAAAGCTTCTTCATGCTC